CACACATTCACACAATAAAAATTCCGCATGTAGAACCAAAACTTTTCCTTACTTTTTAACCAAACATTCTTCTAAAAATTACCATTCAAAAGCATTGTTTTTCTCTAAATGATGGTCATCAAGCAGGGGCTGAATTGTATGCATACTTCACATTGAGTAAACCATCTTTCCAGCATGGCTGCCTCACCTTCCCCTCTCTCACGGCTCTCCTTCTGCGCATGTGCTGCTATAATTATTTTTTCTTCTTTTTATTTTTATTTTTTTATTGATTTACTGCCTTACATTTACACAAATTTTTTGTTTATCCTTTTTACAGGACCCGAAATAATTTTTCAGATAAAAAAATGTTTGGAATAGTCAAAAAGTTTGTTTAGTCCCATCATCTGAAATCTTTGACTGAATATATATGATAAACCCATTGTTACTGTTGGTGCTTACAAAATTGATATATTTTCAAACCATTAACCCTTTATAAGTGGTTGACCTCGAAAGTTCTGACCTGGTTCATCATATCAGTTCTCGAGATTGTAGCATTTAGTTAACGAGATATATGGAAATTTTCAGCTCTTTTGACTCTCTGTGCCAATCAAACATTGTGCAGTAATTTCCATTTCGTGACAATCACTCATGAAGGCTTACTGTTCTCAGGTGTCGAGATCAATTGGTGATGCTTACCTAAAGAAAACTGAGTTCAATAGAGAGCCTTTGTTGCCGAAGTTCAGACTGTCTGAGCCGTTCCAGAAACCGATCATTGTAGCTGAGCCCTCAACACTTGTCCAAAAACTCCATCCAGAAGATCAGTTTCTTATTTTTGCTTCAGATGGCCTATGGGAGCATCTTAATAATCAAGAGGCTGTCAACATTGTCAACTCGTGTCCACGCAATGTAAGATGCCTATACTATGTTTGAACTTTCTGGTTATTGATTATGTTATTATTCATGGGCTAAATGCAGAATGAGTTGTATTAAAAGACATAAAAGTTTATGGTTTTACTCAGCTGAGTACTTATTCTTGCACCATCCGAATTTTTGTCAAGACTAGACTGGTAACTGATTGCATGAACTAGAAACATCGAATCAATATAGAGGTGTAAGAGCATCTCCAATAGACACTTTATTTTTAAAAAGCATATTCTATTATTTGGAGAGCATCTATACATTTAGAGAGTTAAAATTTTGAAGTATTTCAACGAGGTCTTTATATTTAACACTTAATTTTACTACCCCAAAAAGTATTTATTATTTTCTCTATATTTTATTTTAACTAACTTTTTTCTAGATTATTTTATTATTTTTTACATTGAAAATTGAAACACTTTAAATGCATTTAATTATAGAGAGTGAGATTCGCTCTCCAAATTTGGAGAACCAAACCCACCCTCTAAATTGAAATGTTAATTTAAAGAATATTTTGGAGCATGATTTTAAAGGTTGACTCTCTAAAATAAAGAGTATCACATGTTTAAAGAAACTCTTGGAAATGCTCTAAACTATTACAGGATCATATCCACTACAACCATATCTTATTCTCAATAAATTTGATAACAGCTACAAGAATCCTTTTTTGCCAGTCTGAAAGATCCAAAAGAAGTAGATCCATAACAACCACATGATGTCATGTTCGTTTTAATCAACCTCTCCCTATTCTAACCTATTCTACTAAGATTACTTCACCAATATAAATAATCCCAACTACTTAATTCATCATTCCCTTATTTTATCCTCATTTTGCTCAATAGATCTGAAATTATTTTCCGAAAATCTTTAAATATTTTCCAGGGCATTGCAAGGAAACTTGTCAAAGCTGCACTGAAAGAAGCAGCAAAGAAAAGAGAAATGAGATATTCTGACCTGAAAAAGATTGACCGGGGAGTGAGGAGACATTTTCATGATGACATCACTGTAATAGTTTTGTTTTTGGACTCTAATTTGATTAGTCACAGTTCCTTCCGTGGACCAATCCTTTCAATAAAAGGAGGTATTTCTGGAGATGCCAATATCTAGTACAGTGGGCCATTGCGTTACCTGCTACTAATTTCAATTGGTTTATTTTTGTTTGACATTTTCACCGAAGAAAAGAGAAATGTATAGAATCACTTTTGCTTTTGGGATCTCACCTGCACTCGGTAATGTTAATGATTATGCCAGCCAGGAAGATGCATGGGGAAAACCCTGTTGAAATTTTTTTGCAGAGTGGCATATGAACCAGGGGAATTGATGAGAAACAGAGTGACACTGATTTATTGTTCAATTAATAAAGAATGCTCAAGATTTTGCTGTTCCAGATTCTTTAAATGTTTTGTCCAGATAATTTGTATACATTCAGTCCAGATATTCTTGTTTTGCTCTTTTTGGTTTCTACAATTTATTGGGGGTTTATGATATATAATAATTATGTGAAGTGGCATTCTTTTTAAAGTTCCTACCTCTGCAAGAATCATATCGGATGGCACATTAACTGACAGGAACTTCCTGAAAATCTGGCTGTCATTAAGCTCTACTCAAGTTTTGTTATATGCAGATAAACTTGATTATACACTAGAAGAAATAAAAAGAAATATAGGTTGTATTCATTATGTTGTACTTTCATGTCAAGTTAGACACGGAAATGGGACAAGTAGAGTGGGCTCGGGGCCATTCGCCACGAGCTCGGCTCGGCTCCACTCTGCTCTCAACTACTTAATTTTCAAGTAGGGGGA